GGTAAAGCTATAATAATATAATATTCTGCTTTGAAAACAACAGTCATTTCAAAATTATTTTTTTAAATTAGATCCAGACATTTTATTCAACAAGAGATGTTCACTTATTTGAGCAGTTAAGTGAAAGTGATTTGTCATTGTAAAACAGCACACAACGGAATGTGACCTTTAACCCATCACCATGGCAGCAGCGGGCAGCTCAAGCTGAGCACCCAGGGAGCAGTGTGTGGGCACGGTGCCATTGCTCAGTGCAATTCAGTGGCACCTGGTGGCTGGTGGATTCGAACGTGCGACCTTCCGGTCACAAGTCCGCTTCCTTAACCACCAGGCCACCACGTTGCATATTTATTAGTAATAAATGACAAACTGAGGATGCACTCTATTTCTAAAGTGAAAAAGAAGGGACAAAGATGCAGCATTTTAATTTAATTCTATACTCCATAAATATGCACTTTACTAGTTTTACAGGTCGGATAGAGAAAATTCAAGGCCAAACTTTGATTCATACGATGGCTGCCTGATAAAGGAATCACTGAATGAGCCTGTCATAATCTTTACAAGATAAAAAAAAAAGATGTAAAATAGTCGCTCCGACTGAGTTGCAGCTTTATCAGCGACCCCATCAACTTTGGAGTAGCTGAAGTGAATATCAGATACACACAATTATAAAAACTCTGTTGTAATGGTGTAAAGTAGCAGATTTCACACTGATTAAAACTATTGTTTATACTATATATACAGTCTATACCGACAGATGTAGTCAGAGGAGGTCAACACATTCTGGATCAAGTAAACAAAGATTAGAAACGTTCTTTACCCGTTACCTGTGACACCTTTACACAGAAATTATTGGAATTTTGGATAGAATGAATAGAGTAGTTAATGTTGTGTTTTAAGTTAAGACCACAAGTCACTAAAATTATGAGAGATCAGTCAGAGGACAAGTTTGTAGGAAATACCAGTGGATATCTACGTCTTGTGTTTTCATCAGTACTCCATATTTCCTTTGTACCAGGCTCTCCCTCACCCACATCCCCTGACCACACATCACCACAGCACAGCCCAGTTCACAATGTCTCGCAAAGCACACTCCTACTGAGGGACTGAGGGACTCATCGAGCCGGGGATCAAACCACTGACCCTTTGTTTATTACACCACTTCACACCCACATCATTATTCACTATAATAATTACTGTGTCTGTAAGTTAATGTACACTGTGGGATTTTTACTCTGACTGACCTTTACGTCGCAACGATGGCAACACCAAGAAATAAACACGAATAACTGCAGCCGTACACACACTGTGCAGTACTTTCCAGACAAACTGCAGTAAACTTTACAGCTACACAGTTTCATAAACTGATCCAGGATTTTTCAGATGGCCCCTGGAGCTGGGAAGAAAGTCAGGAAAGATTGTTGGTTGTCCAAAAGCGTTTCATTGATGGTGACTCATACCGGTGGTCTCTGCAGGACACAGTCTTTGTCCACCCCTCCTTAATGACCCTGCCTCTTAATTAGATTGACCTGTGAACCTCACTATTGTAAATATGAATGATAACACACCAGCGGCTGCATCCCAGGAACCTTGTTTGTGATGTGAATGATTGAGGAGTGGAGTTTTACAATGGTGTGGATGAACAGAGTGGAAGGGATTAAAGAGAACCAAACTGTGCCAAAATGGCTTCACAAGAGAGAACGCCA